ACAGAAAAATCAAAATACACAGAAAAATTTAACAAAATGCAAGGCAACAACACAATGAGATCTTACCTCATACTTATTAGAATGACTATTATTAAAAAGACAAGACAAAAACCCATATATTTCACAAAGTTCATAGTAGCATTCTTTATAATAACTAGGACGTGGAAAGAACCTAAATATCCATCAGCAGACAATTAAATCTAGAAGATATGGTATATCCATGTTATGGACTATTATATAGCAATAAGAAAGAATGAAAGGGAGACATTTTAAACAAAATGGAGGGAATTTAAGAAAATTACATGTGGCATAGTAAATTAGAGCAATAAAAACAAATACTAGACATTTACATAGCAGACACCTTGATAATATAAAGCACTTTCATAAACCAGTAGACATCAATAAACATCCACGAGCTCTGAGGTTAAGAGTGAGGAGGGAGGCAAAAGGACCAGGGTATATAAGGGATGGTGGTGAGGTAAAGTATGCTAGATACAAAAAAAAAAAAAAAAAAAAAAGATAAGTGATAACAAGTATTGCTGAGGATGCAGAGAAAAGGGAACCCTTGTGTGCTGTTGATGGAAGTGTAAATTGATAGAGCCACTATGGAAACAATACAGAGATTTCACAAAGAATTAAGTTAGAACGAACATGTGATCCAGCAATCTGTATATTTACCATGTCTGCATGATCCCATGTCTGTGTATATATCCTATGAAAACGAAATGATGAACTGGCAGATACATCTTTACCCCCATGTTCATTGCAGCACTATTATAATAGTAAAGAAATGGGAAAGCCATGAGTCCATCAATATATGTGTGTGTGTATATATATATAAAAAAATATATGGAAGTATATACATAATATATATAATATTGATGGAGATATATATGTATGTATATGCTTATATATGAATATTATTCAATCACAAACAAGAAGGAAAGCCTACCATTTTTAACAACATAGATGGATCTTGAGATTACGCTAAGTAGTGAAGAACAAATATTATATGATTGCACGAATATGTGGAATCTTGAAAAAAAACAAAACCCATATAAAGAGACTAAAATGATGGTTACCAGTGCTGGCGAGAGTGGTGGAAATGGGAAGATGAACAACTTCAAGGGATCTAATATATAACTTGATAACTATAGTTAACTTGAAACTTGAAAGTTACTACATAGTTGAAAGTGGTCAACAGAGTGAATCTTAAATGTTCTCACCACAAGCACACACAAATTTTAATTATGTGAGATGTTAGATGTGTTAATTCACCTTGTAATAATAATTTTATAATATATACAGGAATCAAATCATCACTTTAACTTACACAACGTTATATGTCAATTATACACAATAAGGCAGGTTAAACATTTCTATGATTGTAATTCTTTTAAGTTGTCATATTTATTTATCAATCCCTGAACTCTCAAATAAGGATTAACTCCAACACATCTTTATGCCTTAAAGAGCCGATTCATTGTTTTGTTGTTTTTGTTGATAAATATATATCATGAAATGTGCCTTGTGATACTGAAAACAACTCTTACTCTGTTATTTTTGGTGAAACATCTTTAAACTACACAGCCAGGGTATGAAGAACTCATGAAATTAAAAACATAATCTAGGGGCCTCCCTAGTGGTGCAGGGGTTAAATTCTCAGTACTATCAAGCTATAACCAGCTACTGCAGCATGAATTTGATCTCCTGCCAGGGAGCAACCCACATGGCACAGCAGACCTCTCCTGTCTTACACAGTGTTTCCCTCAGCAGTGTATTTCAGTAGATCCGTCTGTTCTGCCCCCACTCTGTTTCTGGTGAATTCACACACACATACACACACACACCCCTCTGGCCTATACCCCAGTTTTGTTTTTTATTAAAGACTTATTTATTTATTTATTTATACAAGAACCAGGATACAGGCCAGATTCGCAGGAGGGTGAGAGGATTCACCAGAGACAGGGCCGGGAACAAAACAGGCAGACTGATGAAATACACTGCTGAGGGGAGCAGCGGGTGGGACAAGAGAGGTCTGCCTCGCCATGTGGGACCCTCACCAGCCAACCGGGATCGAACCAGTGCTGCAGAGGCTGCTGACAGCTTCACAGCGCTGCGCTCAACCGCCTGCGCCACCAGGGGAGGCTCTGTCCCAGTTCTTGTATGCATAAATAAATAAAAGAAAATCTTTTAAAAATCTATGTCTAATATCATTTAACATAAAACAATGTATTATCATGAGTAAGAGCACAGATGGTGGAGTCCAAAGTCAAACTCTTCAGTTCAAGTACTTTGATTGTATGTTAAATCTCCAAGTAGTTACTTAACCTGTGTCTTAGCTTCCTCATCTACAGAAGTCAAAAAACAATATAGTTTATCTTATTGGAATGTTATGAAGATTAAATGAAGTAGTGTTAAATGAGTTAGAAGAGTACCTAGAGCAAAGCAGCTACTCAGTAACAGTAAACTATCATTACACATTACATCATTACTTAAAATTTTTAATTTTACATGATAAAAGTTAAAAGGACCCTATTGAAGTTACTTAGTTAAAAGTGAAAATAAAAAGCTGTATCACTAGGAAAATGCCAGTTCCTCCTTACTCAGTAAAAATATCTGCACTGTTTTAAAAACTGAAAGAAATAATACAGGAGCGCAATGTAGGTATTCCTTTATTATTAAAAACAATTGTGTGACAAATCCAAGAAGAGGTCAAGCACAGATACCACTTAATTTGAAAATAATTGTCTTAATCTTTCATAGGTAAGCTAATGCAGTAAGAAACTGAAACCAGAACAGCATGAAAAAAATATAGGCTGTCATTGATATTATTGATTTTTTTAATTAAAATGATCTTTAAAATACTAGAAACTTTATATCTTGAAATGAGATGAGGAGTGACCATACACAGTACAGAGGTTCACTGGGTATCATGTCAACACTTAAAAGAGTTGTTAAATTTAGGATGAATTATGTGTTTTTTTTTTAAGACAGGTTCTAAATCTGTTCACCCTGCTAAGTAGCCATTCAACAAATATTTTAAAATCAATTAACACCTTTTTTTGTCCTTTATTATAAATGTGATATTTAATTAAATGAAATCAAACAGCCTTTTGATTTGATTTGAAGGGAAGCCATCTTTAATTGATGCTCTTTGGCTTACTTATGTTTTAGGAATCATGTCTCACAGGATAGGAGTCTCTGCTGAACTATGCTAATGCCAATGCCAAGGAAATCCCTTTAGACCAAACAGAAAACTATAACTTTGCCCTGAAGCTATAATTATTGAGACTGACCTATTGGTAGAGAGTGCCCTAGATTTTCATTAATTTGTTCCCAAATGTTTTAAAAACGGATATTTTTTTTCTTTTTCTCTAAAAACAAATAAGATAGGTGGTCAATCAACTACTATAAAATGTTTGCCAGTGAACTAAAAATATGAAGACTGGTTTTAATTCATTTGTATTAAAGTATTAAAATGCAAAAATATACATTTTCTGAAAATCAGCATTTTTAGGATGCTGCATTTTATATACCTGATTATTTTCTTCGTTTGTCTCTAAATTAAAGATATTATGGAAAACCATAACAAGACACAAGTCAGTGGATCATCTAACATTTTCTGAGTTCCAAAGTACCACTGTTTTATCATCAAATATAAGGGTAAGTCCATAAAGGACTCTGTAAATAATACTTGGGAGGTAAACTAAAATAGATTTCTAATTCAGTTGAATATACTTTACATTGGGGAGAGAAAATTAGTTTTCATTCATTAATATTCTGATATGGTATCTTCTATAAAAAATATTTATTATTGAACACTAAACCAGAATTCATATAAAAAGTATTTTCAGTTGACTTACTACTAGGTATTTCTAACATAATGATAAAAAAAGCTGGTTTTGTTTTAATGTTACTATCTTTTATCCAATTATGAAATATTGTTAAAATTTTATGACTTAAAATATAAAGGACAAAGGTTTTTTATTCATTGTACTACAACCTTCTCCAGAAATCTTTACCATACTATGAGCAAATGAAAAAATAGCATATTAAAGACAGTGTAGAAAAGGATAAAAAATTGCAAAAAAAGCCCAAAAAGGGGCCTCCCCCTGTGGCACAGGCAGTTGAGAACAGCACTATGAAGCTGTCCCTAGCCTCTGCAGTGTGGGTTAGATCCCAGCCGTCAAGTCAGTTACCCACATGGTGTGGCAGACCCCTCCTGTCTCGCCTGCTGCTCTCCTTAGCAGTGTATTTTGGTCAGTCTGCCTGTTCTGTTCCCCGCTCTGTGTCTGGTGAATCCTCCCACACTCCCACAGATCTGGCTTGTACCCCAGTTCTTATATGCATGAATAAATAAATCTTTAAAAAAAAAAAAGCCCAAAATGTTTTCCAAAACAATGTATTCTGAATAACCCTGTGGGTTCACATGAACAATTGTATATATGAAAAATACTGATATCGAAGACTTAGCAATATCTGGAAGAAAAAAATACACTTTTTGGTATTCTTTAAAATTCATGTTTCTCACAGTAATGTAGCTACTAAACTATAATAAATATATAATCAGCATGCATGAATAGGTTTGAATTTCAATAAATATAAAGTATATTAGGAGCAAATGGTGAGTTTATAAATGTAAATAATCATATTATTAATACAGAACCTCAATGGGATTTACCAAAAATTAGGACATTAGTTTCTATAGAAGCTTAAAAGAGTGTAAGATAGGAATACATGAGTTTATCATGAGGGTTATAAGCACTGTAAATGGAGATTTGGTCACCAAACCTCATAAGGTTAGACATACATGCAGGACAATTAAAACTAGAAACAGAAGGCATTAGGATAAATGAAAAATTAACAGTAATATTCTTTGGGGAAATACATCAACATAAGAGTAAACTCTAAAGTGTGTTGAAGCAAATGTAAAAATTGGTATCAAAATTAACTTAATAAAAAAATCCTAAAGATATTTTATATCCTTACCTTGTAAAGGGTTAATAAGACTTTCTTTAAAATATTCCTCAGTGGGTGAAGGACTATGGGTGCTTTGGTGGTGGGAAAACTACAGTGACCACACCTGAGGTGAGAAATCATATATTGTCCAGAAATTAACAATGATATAAGAAAAAAGTACTATATTTAATTTTTTTTTTAAATAGCCTTTGGTAAACTTATCTTTGAAAGGGTACTAACGTAGAGAAACCATTTTAAAAAACCACTGTGAATCTGTAGTTTTAAAGATTAGGTATTTAGATATTTTAATGTCTAAATGTCTAAAGAGCAATTTATTTTCAAACACCACATTATTCCCATATGATTGTACTTAAATTGTGGTTGTTTTTTTTTTTTTTTTCCTGGAGAAAAGGACACCTAAAGAAAGGTCTTCTAATTTTGGAAATGCCAAATTGTATATACTGATCAGGAATGTGTACATAATTGTTGGGTAATTCACGCAGAGAAAAGCTTTTCTGGGAATTCACAAAAGCATTCCAGATAATCCTTGTGTGCAAATCTGTGTGATTTTTGTTCTCACAGACTTGACCTATCTACTACGTAAGAGGTGGTTTTCATGAGACAGCATAGGATGCGTGATGACACATTTCTTTTTGTAGCTTAGACACACTCTAATTTAGACTCTCATTTCTCTACATTTTCTGTCACAGCCAAGAAACCAGGAATGACTATGGAAAATCATTCCCTGACAACTGAATTTATCCTCATAGGATTTACAGATCAACCAGTGCTGAAGATCCTTCTTTTTTTGTTTTTCCTTGTCATTTATGTGATCACAATGGTGGGGAATTTTGGTCTGGTGGTATTGATTTTTATGGAGCATCGTCTTCATACACCAATGTACATCTTCCTGGGCAATCTTGCTCTGATGGATTCCTGTTGTTCCTGTGCCATCACACCCAAGATGTTAGAGAACTTCTTCTCTAAGGACAGAATGATATCCCTTTATGAATGCATGGCCCAATTTTATTTTCTCTGTGTTGCTGAAACTGCGGATTGTTTTCTCCTGGCAGCAATGGCCTATGATCGCTATGTGGCCATATGTAGTCCACTGCAGTATCACACCATGATGTCAAAGAAACTCTGCATTCAGATGACTATAGGGACCTTCATAGCTAGTAACCTACACTCCATGATCCATGTAGGGTTTCTATTAAGGTTAACTTTCTGCAGGTCTAATCAAATTGACCACTTTTTTTGTGATATTCTTCCATTATACAGACTTTCCTGTACTGACCCTTATATCAATGAACTAATGATATACATTTTTTCAATGCCAATTCAAATCTTTACCATTGCCACTGTATTGATCTCTTATTTTTGCATCCTCTTGACAATTTTCAGAATGAAATCCAAAGAAGGGAGAGGTAAAGCATTTTCAACTTGTGCATCCCACTTTCTATCTGTCTCAATATTCTACATTTGTTTGCTCATGTACATTCGACCATTTGAAGAAGGGGATAAAGATATACCAGTGGCAATTTTTTATACAATTATAATACCTTTATTAAATCCTTTTATTTATAGCCTGAGGAATAAGGAGGTGATAAATGTCCTGAAAAAAATTATAAGGAATTATAATATTCTAAAACAAGCTTCATCCTCTGTGGAAAACTAATTTGTTAAAATGTTTTCATAGATAAAGGACACAAAAATAGAAAAATACATTTTAATATTAATCTCTAAGTCATTACCTTGTGTTTGTTAAATGATGTGTGAACAGAATTTCAAAATTGTCTCTCAAATTTTAATAGAAATCCCACAATTACCAGAATAAATCAGAAGGAAACTTAGCGTAACTTCCATTACCAACTCTGATGGAATTGTGTCAGACTATCAGTTTGAATATCAATATAACAATATAGCATCAAAGTTAAATGTGCAAAAGGTTCTGTCTTGCTTAAACTTGCCTAGTTAATGGACATTATAACTGATACTATTCAGGATATTTGAAATATTTAAAATTTCTTAGCAGGAATATCAGATGATAATTTTCATTCAGAAACCTGATCTGGCAGACACATGTAGATTAGTTTTGGAAGGGAAAGATTATAAACAAACTAATTGCATTAATCTATATTTAATGAAGTTTGACCTACATAAGACTCCAGAGTAGGGAAAAATAGAATTGCACACAGTAGATTAAGATCTACATTAACCTGAAATGTGATTTTTTTTATCTTTTTGAAGACTATGGAATATATAACTGCAATATATAGTAAATATTCTATGAGCATTCAAAATATTGTGTGGCGCTGTTCTATTTTTTCATATTTTTGAGTAATATTGAGATATATTAATACTTCATGTGTTTATTAGTCACTTTTACTTTTACAAAATCTGTTCATTTTCCTTTAAATCTAACTGCTTTTTCCTCCTTTATTACTATCACTGTTAAAAAGTAAAGATTGGGGTTCCCTGGTGGTACAAAGGGGTTGTCTTAGCACTATGAATCTATAAGCAGCCACTGCAGCACAAGTTCCCGTTCCTGGCCAGGGAGTTAATTCACATGGAGAAGCAGACCTCTCCTATCTCGCCTTCTCCCTTTAGAGTAGAAGCAGTTTGTAGTAGGCAAATTGTCTCCAGGTGATTTCCTTGAGGGTTGTGGCCATACTGTGGACTCTATAATGGTCTCTCTTTGGGGCAAAATGAACACTTGCAGGAAAAGTAGCTTTGTCAGCCTTGAAAAACTGGAATATGCTTTTAGCACATATATGCCTCTCCCATTCACTACAATTCATATGCACATTGTTCCATTATTGGGGTAACAAAGCTGGATCACTTCAACTAGCTGAGACATTTTACCTAGTTGGTTGTTTACTATCTCTTCCATGGCAGATTCTGCTGATAGATGTTTATAAGTAATACGATCTACATACTTCATATCCACTTCATATATATAAGCCTTTCCCTCAATTTTTCTGGTTCCTGACATTTTATTCCATCTCTCTCCAAGCTATTGACCAACATCCAAGTCATTCACACTTCACCCTGGACTGCTTATCTTTCTACACAACAGAAATGGATCATTATGCCACTGTTCTAAGGGAGGATTCTTTCAAAGTCTCCCAGAATTAAGCAATAATTCAGCAGTTATACATTCTGGCTTGCATCTATATTACCAACTGACCATCTAAGAGCCAACTTGGTCTGTTGAGGCCAGATGTGTGAGTTGAAGGGGATATGTCAGTGCAATGATGGTGAATGACATAGAAGTGTGGATTACCAGCTTGTGTGGATTCTATTCTTTGGTACTGTTCATGCCAGATACTTGGATGTGGCACCTTTGTCTTCTAATGAATTGCTCCTGGATTTTATTAACCTTATACTTATTAGGCTGAGAAATCCCACCCTATCAAGCCTATTGGTCACTTGATGTCCTAAAGGTGGAACAATTCCGGTAGCAGTGTTCATAGCCCACCAGGAATTAATTTTGCAATAGTTTATAATTCTCTGCTGAAAGTACAAGACCTTGCTCCAAAACCATAAAAGTATATGTCATTTATATTAGCATTTTCCATAAACTTTCCTTTAAGCCCACATCTCTTCCTACTTCAGATATCTCTAATGCCACTAGCATTCTGAATTATAAGGTCCCACTATCAGGGAGATAGCTTACCCCACAGGTTTTTTTTTCTTAAATGTTACTAGTTTGCCAATCATTTACATAACTATACAATTTGGGGAATATAGCATCACACCTCCATATGTGCACATTCTTGACTCACCTTCCACCAAAATTTCAGACAATACCTTATCACCTACCCTCCCCAATTCCCTCCTCTCCTTTCCCTTATGGTAACCAGTATATTTTTCAGAGAATCCAAGAATTATATTTGTGTATTTTGCCAATTTGTTTTATTTGGTTATTTATATGTGCAAATGAGTGAAACCATCTGGTAACCATCACTTTTTGATTTATTTCACCTAGCATAATCACCTCGAGATGCATCCAATTTGTTCCAAAAGGTACCATTTCATTTTTTTAATAGCTGAGTAGTATTCCACTGAGTATGTATTTTACAATTTCTTTATTCAGTCATCTGTCAATGGGTAGATGACTTGATTCCATGAAATGGCTACTGTTAATAAAGCTGCTATGACTATAGGAGTATCTAAATCATTTCATGTTATGTTTTCATACTCTTTGTTTCCCACTGTTTGGATCTATGAAGAGCTCTTTTCTGTTCTTGGGCCTATTAAAATTTATATTTTTCTCCCACTTGGACATGGCGTATCTGTGTGAAGGATCTTTAAACTATGTCTGATGTTAAGAAATGTTGAGAAATAATTCAAACAAGTCCTTAAATTGCTGTATCATAGTACTTACCTTGGACTTAAATAATAAGCCATATATCATCACATTTTTTCTGAATACAAGGTAATTATTATTTAATGAATAATAGCATCAGTGGAAATGAACAATTTCATGGCACTAATACATAAAATAAAAAAAAAAAGAATACCATTACTTTCATTTAGTCATTCTTTTAAAATTTCTATTTTCATGATTTTAAATATATTTAATATATTAGTGGTACTGATAATGGTACATCTATGTAAGGTATAGGTAAAAATGTAACAAAGTTAATTATTACTAAGAATTACAAAGTAAGATCCATCAAATGGGCCGAGTTTCAAGTCACAAATCTAAAAAAATTTAAAAAAATCAGTCTGCCCTTTAGGAAACACCTGTGAAGGAAATCTAACATATACTAACCCCAATTCTCTGAGTAAGATTTTAGCTAGCTAGGAAAAAAAGTAGAAAACGTGAGTGTTAATCACAGAAACCAATATGAACACTTTCAATTGCACCGAACATTATAACTTAGTTAAGAAGACAACTAGATGGATTTTGGAGTTGGTATTTACAGTTGGTTGTGACATTATGAAAGAGAGAGCTCTGTGAGTTGTCAGGGAACAAAAAAAGGGAAAAGAAAAAAATCTGATTATTTCCAATCTAACTTCCTGTTCACCTTATATTACTCGTAAGCATCTCCTTATATGGTATACAAGTAAGTAACACTAACCCTATACTACTCTCCATTTTTTCATTAGATCTTATTCTTTGAAGGTTCCAGGTTTTTATCATGTGGTTCCTTCAGGCTACTTTTTTTCATCACACTCTTTAATTATTGCAATCTTACTTATCCTGCAAGATTCATGAGAAATAGCACTAGCACTGGGAAAGCTTTCTTTTTCTGGCATATCACCACTCATTTTCTTCACTGTATTTTTGTATAACATGTTTAAATTTTTTTATTTCATAGCATAAATTGCATATAGTTAGCAAAACTAGTTAGCTCATAGATTATGAGCTTACCAGTAAGTATTTCTAAAATCTGAAGTTTCTTAATCTCACTATGGTCATATTCTGTACCTACTCAGCGTCTTTTCCAATACCCTGTAGAGTGTTAGTACTTGATAATGCTAAAACAGACTGAAATTTTGGCAATCAATATAGCATGTATTGAGGCCTCAGTTTATTGTCAGGAATCCAAAAGTTGTGTGACATGGTTGGTAAATTAGTCAAGACTTTTATCATTAAAACACATTAAGTATTACACTTGATAAAAGGGCAAATATAGTAGAGAATTAGATAAGTAACATACAGATCAAAAAGAGGAAAAAAGTCACTTCTATTTGAAGGTCCCAGAAAAGTTCCCATGAAGATCAGATTTAAGGCTCAAGGATTAATAGGACTGGGGATGGGAAAAGAAAGAGATGTTAGTGTTTCAGTAAAGAAAACATAAGCAAATTAATAGAATCAACTACACAGAGGAACAGTGCAGGGATACACATGACCAAATGCCCTGCAGTGAGAAGAAGGACACAGGGTGATAAGGAGATACTGACAGACTGTGGATCATCTGGAACACCAAAAGAGTTTAATTAAAAAAATAAATAAAAAGGTTTGAAAACTGCTAAGGGAACATTTCCAATTCTTTTTTTTTTTTAAAGATTTATTTTTATTTATGCATTTAAGAGCTGGGGTACAGGCCAAAGGTGCAGAGGGTGAGAGAATTCACCAGAGACAGAGTGGGGAACAGAACAGGCAGATTGACCAAAATACACTGCTGAGGGGAGCAGCGGGCAAGTCAGGAGAGGCCTGCTGCTCCATGTGGGCTGTTCCCTGGCCGGGGATGGAACTCATGCATCATGTGGAACTCATGTGGTGGAGGCAGACAGCCTCGTAGGTTGTGTCTTAACCCCTTGTGCCCCTAGGGAGTGCCCCATTTCCAATTCTTGTGTAAGGCATATCTTTTATTCATTCATTCTGCAAATATTTGCTGAGTACAACAAAGTACCACCCATTTTTCAAGATGTTGGAAATTCAGGAATGAATATAACTGAAGTACCTTCCTTCTTAAACTTAAAGGTTGAATATGGTGGGGGATTGGGGTTAACTAATTCTAGACATATGAATAAAAATATGCAAATAAGTATATAGTGTTATTAATTAGTGGAATGAGGGTAAAAAACAACATAAACAATATAAAGACAGTTGTGGTAAACAATAAAAAGAACAGTCTCAGTAATGCATACATTGGACTAATAATAGCAAAGTTCCCAATAAGAGTTTATAGGACCTGCAAACAAATTCAACTCAGAATGAAACTGATGATGTCATCATGTGGATTGACCCTGCCACACTTTTAGTCTCCTTTCCAAATGCTAGTCATTTTTCATAAACTATACTAATTTCATAAACCCTGTTAATTTCCTCCAGTAAGAGGTCAAACAAACCTGACTCTCTATTATGTTCATTTCACATTTTATACAAAATAATGAGCAGAGTTTAAAAATGACATAAATTATATAAGAATCAGGAAAATAATCAAATGATCTTAGTGAAGGTCATTGGCACTAACCTCATTTTCTCAGAGTATCTTTAATTAATGTCATGTGGTTTATATATTTTAGGTTCTGAATCTCCCAACTGAAATACAATGATGATATTGCAGGGAAATCCCTTTTGGATGTGATGGAAAATTTTAACTTTGTGTCGTAAGGAACATAATTACTGACACTGACTTATTAGTAGTCTCTCAGATTTTCATTCTTTTAATCCCAGACGTTTTAGAGACCAAAGGTTTATATTCTGAAATTATGAGACCTAACACCATATTGCAAATATCGCACAACTCTTTTAAGTGAAATCTAGGTAAGGGAAGTATCCTAATTCATACTTACTTTTAATACTGGCATCCATAAATATTTATCTGAATAATAATTATTTTTTATTGATCTTAGATATCAACATTTTGGTTATCTTCCCAGGTCATCTCAAAATTAAAGTCTATTGGAAAATAGAACAAGATACTACAATTAATGCTGACATCTGACTATAAGGTAGGATTTCAAAATATAGAAGTCTGGGGGCACAAATTAGTAAAATTTTCAGCCAATGCCTTTATTTTGATGTTTTGAATATAGAAAACTAAACCAGTTTGATCATCAAATGTATATGATTAGACACAATAGTCAAATGTCCTAATGGATCACTAAATGATTATGAAAGACAGTCATTTAAAGGAAAACAAAATTTGTTCTCAAAAACCATATAAGATTTAAAGAATTTTCTGTGTTCTATATGTTAGAAAACTAAACTATGAAGGCAAGCTTACTTTATTTATTGACTTTAATCAAATGTGATAAACTTCAGAAAATTTTACATAATTTTCTTAGGAAATAGGAAAATATTACATGAGTAACAGATAAAAGATACCTACTTTTTTGATAAAATGTATTTTTATGGGCCTCCCCGGTGGCGCAGCGGTTGAGCGCTGGGTTGCGAAGCTGCCCGCGGCCTCTGCAGTGCCAGTTCGATCCCCGGCTGCTCCCCGGCCACCGGAGGAGGGTCCCACATGGCCCGCAGACCTCTCCTGCTGCCCGCTGCTCCCCTCAGCAGTGTACTTCGGTCCTTCTGCCTGCTCTGCTCCCCGCTCTGGCTCTGGTGAATTCTCTCACCCTCCCGTGCTTCTGACTGTACCCAGTGCATGTATAAACAAAACAAACAAACAAACAAACAAATAAATAAATAAATAAATAACATGCCTCTATTTAAAAAAATGTATTTTTATTGAAAATTATTTGATATATAATATTGTACAAGTTTATGTACGCAACATACTGACTGTATGCACTAACATATTACAGTATGATTACTACTTTGGTGTTAGCACTCCATGATAACACATAATTATCATCTCTTTTGTTTTGTGTGTGAATAATTAAGATCTAGTTTCTCAGCAAGTTTGATTATTACAATATTGTTTATATTAATTATAGTATGCATTACATCTCCAGGATTTATCTATCTAATAGCTGCAAGCTGAACCTTTAAATAATAGCTCTTGTTCTCTCCACCCTAGTAAACCCAGGCCCCAGTAACCACCATTTTACTGTTTTTAAAGTATGGACTTTAGAGTCCCCATTCATGTGATATCATAAAGCATTTGTCTTTCTCCATTTGAGTTATCTCAGCATAATTTCCTAAAGGTCCATTCATGTCACAAAAGACAGGATTTCCTTCTTTCTCATGGCTGAACAATTTCCCATTTTATACACACACGTACGTATGTGTGCATACATTATATATATATATACATATATATATATATACACACACACACATACACACACACATATCACATCACCTAATATCACATCATCTTTTACCCATCTGCCCACTGACATTCACTTAGGTTGTTTCCCTAACTTGGCTATTGTGAATAGTGCTGCAGTAAATATGGTAGCGCATATATCTCTTTAATATCTTTCTCAGAAGTAGAATTGAGGATCAAAAAGTCCCACCTAAAACGTGCAGGGCTCCCCTATATGCATATTCTCTCCATAATTATCTCTTCTCAATGATAGTCATTCCAAAAGGTGTGAGGTGAAATCTCTCTGTGATTTTGATTTTATTTCCCTGATGATTAGTGATACTGGCATGTTCTCATGAATTTGCCATTTGGATGTCTACTTTGGAAAAATGTCTATTCATTTCCTCTGCCACTTTTTAATGGGATTGTTTGTACTTTCACCATTGTTTTATGAGTTCCTTATGTTTGTAATAATTTTTTAAAAGATGAGTTTTAAATAATTTCCTTTATAGACTCTTCTTCAGATTTAGTAGTCTTTATTTATATAAGATCTAATGCAAAAATGGACACAAATTGTTTTGATTTTGTATCTATAGATTTTGTATCTCTGTCCCAGAAATAAGAGAGTAACCCTAAAGAAGCAGCTCCTCTCCCTGTTGTAAAAAGACCAATTTGAAGGGAAATTATATGCTCTAACTTAGAATCTCTTATCTTTACAATTCCTATCTCAACAGATGACTAAAGATAACTACTCCTTGACAACTGAATTTATCCTCATAGGATTTACAGATCACCCAGAGCTGAAGACCCTTCTGTTTTTGCTGTTCTTTGTCATCTATGTGATCACCATGGTGGGGAATCTTGGTCTGGTGGTATTGATTTTTATGGAGCGTCGTCTTCATACACCAATGTACTTCTTCCTGGGCAATCTTGCTCTGATGGATTCCTGTTGTTCCTGTGCCATCACACCCAAGATGTTAGAGAACTTCTTCTCTAAGGATAGGCTGATATCCCTCTATGAATGCATGGCCCAATTTTATTTTCTCTGTCTTGCTGAAACTGCGGACTGCTTTCTCCTGGCAGCAATGGCCTATGATCGCTATGTGGCTATATGCAACCCACTGCAGTACCACACCATGATGTCAAAGAAACTCTGCATTCAGATGACCACAGGAGCCTACATAGCAGGAAACATACATTCTATTATTCATGTAGCATTTCTGTTTAGGTTGACATTCTGTCGATCTAATCAAATCAATCATTTTTTTTGTGATGTTCTTCCACTGTATAGACTTTCCTGTGCTGATCCTTATATCAATGAATTGATGATTTTTATCTTTTCAGGGTCAGTTCAAGTCTTCTCTATTACCATTGTCATACTCTCTTATCTAAGCATTCTTTTTACAATTTTCAAAATGAAATCCAAAGAGGGAAGAGGGAAAGCCTTATCTACTTGTGCATCTCACTTTCTCTCTGTCTCAATGTTCTATGGTTCCCTTCTGTCCATGTACATTCGACCAAGTTCAGTTGAAAAGGGGGAAAATGATATACCCATTGCTATTTTTTATACTCTAGTGATTCCTTTATTAAATCCTTTTATTTATAGTCTAAGAAATAAGGAAGTAATAAATGTTATAAAAAATGTTATGAAGAAAATTTAATATTCTGAAACAAATATTCCCAACAGAAAAATTAAATTTAATTTGACAGAACTTTTTCAAATCAAGAATACTGAGAAAGTAGAAAATGATCACTTTATAGATAAAATGTTAAAACCTTAAAATATAATGGTGTGTGAGTAAAAATATAAGTCCAGAAGGCAGGGATTTCACTAAAATAAAAAATAAAATCCATTAGGAGTGAAATAAATACTCTTGAGGTCACAAATTGTATCAAGGTGTAATTAAATAGTAACTGTTTTGACATGTAATGAATTATAAACAAATAATAGTAATAGGATTCTATATACATTAAGTTCACCTTAAATGAATAATGTAGGCAAATTCCTAGAATTCCAAAAATCTTACAAACTCCAGTACATTCTAAATTCTCAAATACAATCCTTTCTTAAGCTACATCATGTGTCAGAAGTAAATTATATATTTAAATTTGATTCATAACTTTTTAGTGTCAAAGAGATTATATTTAAAATTAAATTCATGTATGTTTTAAATAAAAAAAATTCTCTTCTTTCGTGTTAGTCAAATTTACTCTCATAACCTGTGAAATGGAGCGTAATACAATGGTGAATTATCAATCTGTAATTGAAATTATGCTATTTATATTGAAATTTGTATGTATTTGAATTTTTTTGCAGTTTGATGAATTATCTATATTATAGAATAATTCAATACTGAATATACTAACTAAAGAGTTTCTCTCTTTGCTATTATGACTTGTTTATTATTAGGAATACCATCAATCTGTACCAATTCATCTGTACCAATTCTGACATAAATTATTGACTAAGTACAACATTTACAAAATTCTTTCCCGTTTCATTGATCTAAATGTTGTTCTATAGGGATCAACATTTGCCAATAACAAATTGTTTGAATTTTTATAATAGTTTAGTAGGTTTGAAAACATGAAGTGTGAGTTCCCATGCTTTATTCTTCTTATTCAAGATTATTTTGACTATTATGAGCTCCTATGAATTTAGGGACAGTTTGTTAGTTTCTGCAAGATGGGATTTTGATAGGGATTACCTTGAATTTATAGATCAATTTGGTATGTATTGCTACTTTGGTAATATTTAGTCTTCTGATTCATTAACACAAGGTATCTTTTCATTTACTTAAATCTTAATAAATTTCTTTCAACAACTGTATTGTTTTCAGTATAAGTTTTATACTCATTTTGTTAAATTTGTTCTATTTTTTTTTCTTTTTGATGCTACTGAAAATGGGACTGTTTCCATTATTTCATTTTGGGTTTCTCGTTGCAAAGGTATAAAATACAATAGATTTATGTATATTGGTCTTGTATCCTATCACTTTGTCAAACTTGATTATTTGTTCCAATATATTTTTGAGCTTCCTCCTTAGAATTTTCTATATACAAGCTTATATATGTTTCACTTGCAAAAAGAATGTATTTCACTTCTACTGTTCCAATGTGAATGCCTTTTACTCCAAGTTCTTTCCCGTTTCCCTGACTAGAAACTTCAGTACAATGTTGAATAGATGTGGCAAGAGTAGACACTGCTGTCTTATTGCTGTTCTTGGGAGGAAAGCTTTCATTCTTTCACCATGTAGTATGTTGTTACCTGAGGGTTTTTTAAGCCCTTTGTCATACTGAGTAAGGCCCTTTATAGTTCTAGTTTTGCCACTATTTTAACATGAAATGGCATTGAATTTTATCAAATGCCTTTTCTCTTTTGAGATGTGACATGATTTTTGTCCTTTAGTCAACTGATGTGTTATATTGCTTTTCAAATAGTAAACCAAACGAACTCCTAGAATAATCCACTTGGTTATCATGTGCAATCTTTTTTTTTTTTTTATGTTGCTGGATTAAGTTTGCTAGTATTATTGGAGAGTTCTGCATGTATAGTCATAACACATATTGGTTTATAGTTTTATTTTGATGTTTTTATGGTTCTGTTATCAGAATGACTTTGACCTCCTAAAATAAACTTGGAAGTGTTTTTCCTTTGTAATTTTTGAGTGTTTGCAAAGAGTTGGTATTATTTTTAAATCTTGGTAGAATTAGGGCCTCCCCTGGTGGCCAGGGGGTTGAGCGCAGCGCTGTGAAACTGTCCGCAACCTCTGCAGTGCCGGTTCAATCCCTGCTGGCCGGCGAGGTTCCCACATGGCGCTGCAGACCTCTCCTGTCTTGCCCGCTGCTCCTCTCAGCAATGTATTTCATCAGTCTGCCTATTCTGTTCCCCACTCTGTCTCTGGTGAATCCTCTCACCCTCCTGTGCATCTGGCCTGTACCCCAGTTCTTGTATAAAATTAAATAAATCTTTAAAAAAAAAATCTTGGTAGAATTAAACAGTGTAGCACTCTTAGCCAGAGAATTTCTGTATGGGTTGTTTTATTATTAATACAAATTCAATCTCTTTACTTGTCATGGATATATTAATATTTTCCACTTCTTGAATTAATTTGACAGTTTGTGTCTTTTAGGAAGGTGTTCATTTTATCTACATTTTTGTCATACAATTGTTCACAATATTTATTGTAATTCATTTTATTTCTCTAAATTTGACATCCCTCTTTCAACCTTGAATTTCATGATTTAAGTCTTTGCAGGGGGTTTTGTTTGTTTGTTCTTTGGCATTGAATCCTGGCTTCATTTAGTTCTGTGAACATATTTATCATGTCTATTTTTGTCTTATTCTGTTAAACTCAGTATCCAGTACAACAGACTGGTGTGCCTGCTTGTTTTCTGGTATAAGGGTCAAATCTTTTTGGCCGTCACATGATATTTTGTGTTTCTGAGAACTGGGCATTTAGGATAATCTAATGTAGCAAGACTGGGTACTCATCCATGGGTCCTGTTAAATCCTTGTTTGTTGTTTAGTGACTGGGTGGACTGTTTTCATGGTATCTTATTTTCCTTTAAGTTTAAAGCCTCTGATGACACCCTCTGGGAGTTACAGTATGCACACTGTCTCTGAGATGACCATGGCTTTATCAGAAGTCCTCTTACCTCTTTCATTGATCATATCCAGCTGTTAAGCTCCACTAATTGCCAGCTAATTGGTCTACTGTTTTCAACAATGTGCTGAGAAACAAGGTGTCCACATTCATAACCAATTAAATTTGGCTCCATTTAGAGCAATGGTTTTTGAGGACAATGTTAGAGGTTTCTTTTAACCACAGGTATGGCCTTCCCAGATTTCTCCATCCCTGGATCTCTTGGGGTCAAATAGCTGGCCTAAAGTTTAACCAATGTTTCCACCAATACCTTTATAGCTGAAAAACACCCATATGTTTGAAATAATCCTGTTTCGAATAAAATCACTTCCTTTGGGAGACCTTTGAAGTCTTTGTTCATAAGACATTTCTTTTCTCCTGAGAAGAATCTCTTCAGATTCAGCTCTCACACCTGAAAATAGTGATAGTGGACCATTTGTCTCTATGTGATGCAATTGCTGTAGATACAAGTCACTTGTTAGGTTTAGTAGCATGTGATCTTGGGCTGTTACAGGGCAACCTTTCTCCCTAACAATCTCAGCTTGCCCTTCCCACTGTGGAGCCACTTCCTTATAAATAAGCTGGAAGCAAGGGTGATTAGGGTTTCATATTCTTAATGTGCCATATCTAAGGTAGAACCTCTATTCTATGAGTGGAGCTGGGTAGAAGGGATCCCCAAACTCTTGACCATACTCATCTAGAAATTAGCTTCTCAAGGCTTTCCTGAGATAGTAACCAGCCCTCTAGTGGAAAAGGGACAGGGAGGTGGGAATTTTGTGTTCTTGGCTGTATTTGCCTAGGTGGAACTTTGTTCACACAAGGCTGAAAAGGCAAAGGGATTCAAGTAGTGTACATTCAAAAACTGTAGATTTTCATTGTCCTTGCCAAGTTTTTGTATATTTTCTTGAATTAATGTTTCATTTGCTACATACATGTAATTAGCATAATCATGAGAGATTTTTAAATGGTTTGTCTTCTTAATGTAAAATATTTTCACCATTTATGGTTGTTCTTTTGGGGAATTGATCCATGGAAATTCTCATGCTGCCAGTATAAAAGCTGGCCTTAGCTGCAGGATTTTCATAAATGTTCTTTATCAAATTCAAGAAGTTGCTCTCTAGTTTGAGTTCATTATATGTTTTTTTTTAATCATGAATGAGTGTTGGATTTTGTCAAGTGTTGTGATTTGATATGAACAATTGATATGATCATAAGATTCTCCTTCTTTAGCCTATTGCTATGAAAGATTACATTTTAATATTAAACCAGTCTTACATACCATAATTTCCACTACACATGGTATATATAAAGCCTGATATTATGAAAAATAATAGAGCATGTTTAAGGGCTGATGGGATGGCACAGGACTATATACTAATCATATGGAGATAACAGGAATAACACAGCCTGAATATTATTAAAAATGGATAGCTACATGCTCACCTCATTGAAGCTGTGATACTATCAGAACTTGGTCTGTATTTCCCCCTCCCAAATATCATGGCCATTTAATCCCACCAAACCTTGTATTTCTGTCATCCCAAAACCAAAATGCAAGCACCTTTCAGTTGCTATCATTTCCACATAAACTTTTCCATCTACTCTAGTTCTCCTCTGAACTTTTCCCCTGTGTTTGAATGCAGGTACTGTCATTAATTGTGTCATATGGGGCAAGTTGTCCTTTCCTCTTAATTCTCTCTTCTAAGAATTATTTTATTTTTTAAAGATTTATTTATTTATGCATACAAGAGCTGGGGTACAGGCCAGAGATGTGGGGGGTGAGAGGATTCACCGAGACAGAGTGGGGAACAGAACAGGCAGATCGACCGAAGTACACTGCTAAGGGGAGCAGCGGGCAAGTCAGGAGAGGTCTGCTGCGCCATGTGGGTTCTCCCTGGCCAGCTGGGGATTGAACTCGTGCTGCAGAGGCTGCAAATTGCTTCATAGTGCGGTTCTTAACCCCTTGCGCCACCAGGGAGGCCCCTCTAAGAATTGTTTTATATTCACTAAATCAT